GGATTGATAACATAAGAGAGCAAGAGGTGCGTTTACATTAATTAAGAAGCGAACAAATGATATGGTAAATATTCGCATTAGCGTTTTAAAGGGAGGTTAGTTATGAGAGTGTGGTGAAGTGGACGGTCGAGTGGAAATGCTAATCTGGATCCGAAATCGGTGGTTAAAGTGATTACTGTTAAATAAACCCCATTGAAGCGACACATGTACGAAGACAAAGATGGGTATATATAGGAAAGTACGCCATATAATGTAGGTTTAAGGGATAATAATATAGGGTTATAAGCTAAGATAGTGGAGAAGAGTGATATAACAAAGGTTGAACAGTAAATTGATCAAGATGATTGACTTTACTGGCCACTATATTGTCCTCACGCTGGCGTCAACTGTGATGTTGAATAAAAGTATGGGAATGTACCAATTCAGCAGCACAATGCTGCAAATCGTAAGGACTATACTAGCATAAGATGCAGAACTGAGTATATTCTCCCAGGTCTACCTGTCAACAGACCAGGTTGTGAAAAGGAGGTAAAAACAATACCATATAGTTAAAGAAGTCTGCGGCAAAACCATAAATCACACCATCTTGGTGATCGGATATAAGAGAGCATACTAAGCCAAATATCTACCTTAGAAGGGAATACTTTTCGGGAAGCAAAGCTAAATGAAATTCATTGGCATCATGAGGCTTACAGAAATGAATGTCGGAAAATTTAACTATCAGGCCTTATATAAACAAGAGTATATATAATTATATTCAGGATCAACTGGTAGTAGATCATAGTAGCGACTATAAGTTTGCCTCAGAGACACTCCTGCTATAATTATGATATAAAATAGCCACATTTGCTGCCGGCACCCATGGTGATGCGGTGTGGTAGTAACATGTCGAAAAGGGTGTTGATAAGACCCAGACGAGGTCGAAACTGAAGTCCAATCTGAGTAAGAATAACTTTTAGTAGATAACTCTATTAAATTCAGTAGCATTGTGAGGCCCAGTCAAATCATTGTGGTAAAATACAAATATCGGATATTCATAATCCTATGCAACCTAGGCTATATAAAGTTCCTTTCGAATGAATTTTAGTCAACGGAAAGGACAATTGTATCATTCGAATTTGATTCCACTGGTCCATTCTTCTTGGCAGCTCCTTAAGCCACAAGATACAATATAATGATGATACAAATGTTCGCCGCAAGGAGATATACTAGAATATTTGAACTATACTTAATGAAAAAGATCAGTTCAAAGAAATATAAAATCGAAAAAAAGCAAAATGCAATAAAAATAAAGATTGATCTAAGCCTTAGATTAGTGTTGATGGGTAAAAAATAAAAGCAATCTGTTTTTTTGGATATTCACAGAGTTATGCCTACCTTCAGGATTAGGCTCAAAAGCCCTGGAAATCTTGGCTGTTTCCAGGCCATCTTTTCCAATGTCTTCTCCATTAGACGGCCATAATTTGATATCAAATGGAACTTCTGCACCCCACTTAGACTCGTTGAATCTCTGCCAGCTTCCATTGGTAAGCAATGCGAAAGGCTTGACGTAGAAGGTAAAAATGATGGAGGTGGAGTGACCGGCAGGTGTAAGCTGACCGTTGCCGATTGACATTTGGGATGTTGCGAATGGTAGTGAGAGTGATTGTGGTGAAGATTATGGTTACAATGATGAAATTTCGAAGTAGTTTGGCCTTGGAGACGGTTCTTTGGCTGGAATGTGGCCAGTGCCATTTGTGTGGGAAGGCAGACAGTTGGTAGAAGGCGGGATAAGAGCCGAAGACCGGCCACGAACTCGTGCTCAAAGTCAGAATCGAGCAGGCACACGCCTGTCCAGAAGATTCCACATATAAGATCTCCAAATTCATCCTGACCTAATTGACAGGACGACTGAAATAGGTTTTCAGCAGATCCTAAGTCTGACATGTCCAGAAGAGTCAAGCCCTCTTGTTGCTCGTTAGAGGAGATCTCCAGAGGAAGTAGTGACATAGGAGCATGCCTCATTACTGTAGGCTTACGCACTCCTTTGGTCGGGTCGGAATAATGTTGACGATTGGGAGATAAACATGAAGAATGCGAGTGGCTACGGTTGTCTAACTCACTAAAATATAGGCAAAGGGGATAATGTGACATAAGGCAAATAAAAAAACAGAATGAGCCTGCTGAGCTTATGTGTATAAGTGATTTAATCGAAAGCAAAAACTTAGCATAAAAGACAAACATAACATTTCATATAAAGAATGGAAACGATACCAGATAGTAATGACGAATATAATCATGTAGTAAAAAAGAAGAAAATTGCTTGCCTTTTCTATAGACAAAAAACAAAAATGTAAATATGTTAACGTAATGCCTTACCAGTTATTCGAAAAAACACAAAACAGAACACAAATCTAATTAATGTGAGTTCACATAAAGTTAGCCAAGCCTCAAATTGAAGCATTTTAATAATAGGATTAAAAAAATAGGGTATCATAATATATGACTTAAAGTATTATGAAAAAATGATAGATTTATATTGCAGAATAACTTGGTGAATCAAGTACACATATGCTCAAACAGCTGTCTAGAAACAAAGGAGTGAAGAGAGACGAGTATGTAAAGCCTAATTTACTAACGAACAAAAGCCACACACAAATAGTACATACAAGACTCATTTAATGGATAGGGCAAACGAAATTACCCCAAAATATAGTAGGAAGATAGTCTAGGCGATAAATTTTTCCCAGTGTCTTGTAGTAAAGCGAAATTAAAACTCACAAAACAAAGATTGGAGTTAGCTAATAAAGTATAGATTAATGGTTTGTCTCGAGGTCACATGATGATAAATTAGCTTGACCATTTCCTATAAGGATAAAAAGAGGAAAGATTGTAAAAACAAGAAATACTCATTTTTTTCGTTTTTGAGTAGGTTTTCGAGAATACCAGTAAATCAGATTAGTTGTGTTCTGCCTACTGCGTTTAAAGTGATGAAGGCCTGATGATTGAATTTTGCCATACTGATATGAGTAGAGCTGACAATTCACTTGAATTTCACAGCCTTACTTTCCCAAATAGTGTTCTCATCCAGAATGGATTGCAGTTTTGACCTCGCCTAGATTCGAACGAAACCCGTGGCAATGCGGCGTGGTGGTTAACGTGTCAAGAGTACACACTGCACCGTAATAATTCGAATTCCGCTGTAAGTGTTGATAAGACTTAGGCGAGGTCGAAATTGCAGTCCACCCTGGATGAGAACACCTGTTTGGAAAGCAAAGTTATGTGAAATTTAATGGAAACGTCAACTATACTCATATCAATGGAAAGATTCAATTACCAGTACTTCATCAACTTAAACCAAATAGAGCGAATACAACTAATAATAAATATTCAGGTTATAGTGACATTTAGTGAAATTTCAAGTGAGATGCTGTAGGTGAATTCATCAAATCACGAAAAATTAGAAAAATAATTGGGATAGTTAAAAAAGGTAATAAATTATGTATTTAAAAAAAGCAATTAAAAATCAGGAGTACACTTGAACTCATATTAAGAAGTATTAGATACATATATTTAAAATGTTCGAATGTACGTTTAAATGGGCTGACCCAAAAATCGCCGGAATTCCCAAACATGAAACTACAACTAATGTAGCAGAGGACTGCAGGCAAGTTGTGCTCAAAGAGATTGCCTTCAAAAACAACCAAGGCGAAGCTGGATCCGATTAAATCAATTAAAATCCATATTAAACTATTCGTGTATTAAGAATTTTACGTTTTCACATTTTTACAGGTAATAGAGTTATCTGTGATCTAATAAAATTAATCGAAGATATAAAGACCAAGATGTTGTGGCCCCCGGTATGGTCGAAATCTCCTTTCGATTTATAGAAGTGAGTTGACCTCGTCGCAACTTTATTATGATGTCAAGGCGACTTAGTAGAACACACCAAGTCTGAAGTCCTCTGCCATAGTAGTTATCATAATTCCCAGCATCAGACATCAGAATGTACCAAGTGCACTGTCTGATGCTGGGAATTATGATAACAACTATGGCAAAGGGCTTCGGATTAGGTGCGTTCTACTAAGTCGCCCTGACAACAAGACCAAGTTGCGACAATGAGGTTAACCCACTTTTAATAAAATTAACTTCAAACGCTGAACATTACCTAGGCTTATTTGAGTTTAAACGTTGAGACTTCTTTTGATAGAGTCTCGTCTGAAATTGTGAATTTTCTCCCGGCCCAACGTAGACCATACGTTGTCTGCCATCGTTAGATAGTGGGATAGAGGTTGCGCTTGTAGTTGACACTTCCAAAGGCGTTGGTCGACTGGATAGCAACCGTGGCGCTGACATGTCGCTTGAAGATCCATTAGCTGCCCGGACGGACTTATCGGTTGGTAACGCATATGCTCCAACAGGCTGCGAAATTCCGGCAGTTACGAGCACCTCCAGACCGAGTGAGCTTGCTGAAGCAGAGCTACGACGTACGTGCCTGCCCTTCGTCACCTTGGGATGAACGGAGTGAGGCCCTGCTGAAGTGCTAGCCGATAAAGACGAAGTAGATGATGTAGAAATGTGGTCTGGGGCCCTGGAGGTTAAGAGACGGGTTATTGTGCATGGGGGAGCTGAAGGGCCGGATAGCTGCGACCGAGGCGAAACATTGGTGAGAGGCTGACCACATGCAGCATTCGATGCTTGTCCTGGACAAAATTTGACATTGATGCTGTTGCTGCTAAGGGCTGAGGTGGTGGTAGTAGCTGTAGCGACAAAGGTAGTAGTGGGGGCGATGGATGAACAGACAGTGTGGGTGCATCCGTTTGAGCTATTGCCATTGACACTACAGGCCTGGTAGTAGTCAGGAAGTAGATCCGTATTTTGGTGAATGTGATCTAAACAGGCCTCTAGAGTAAGCACCAATTCAATCATGTATCCCTAACGCAGTAAATGGAAGTAAAAGGCTGAATATATATAAAGAA